TTTTATTGACTGGCCCGGAAAGACCAAAGTCTGAAAGATGAAATAAATTGCCCTTTGACTTCAAAATGTTTCCTCCATGGAGGTCACAATGTATAAGTTCTTTTTCGTGCAAGTTATACATATCCTCTAATTTTCATTATATTGAAAAAATTAGAAAAGATTTAAGTTTGTTTAATAAATTTATAGATGTATGGAAAAAATTACCAATTATTCACCTGAAATATTATAAAAAATTTTATAAATTTCTTTCCAAGTGATTTTGCTATAGGAACTTTTAATATATGTTCCTAGATCTTGTTCATAGTTAGCAAGCACAAGAATGTAATCACCGGTTTTAGTGTCTCTTGTTATGCCGTAACAGGTAGCAACAGTAAAACCCTCAGAACCCAATGAAATATGAGTTTCTATCTATTGTTATGTAAAGAATATATAGAATATATAGAATATATGCGCGTTATTTCTTATCAGTCAATTATTATTAAAATCTAGCAGATTTCAGTATTACCTCTTTTAAGAACTCTTTTTCTGCTTGTTGACCATTCGAAAGGTTTTTAAGAATCACAGTAATCGGTTTGCCTCTTACAAATTCTTGTTTCTTTTTATCAAATGACATTATAACGCCTTTCTTCCAAATGGCAGTGGAAATTTCAGAGAATCCACCTTTTGTTTTATACGCAACATGTTCAAGGTCATCGAATGGTATCCATTCGATAATGTATCTTGGAAATGGAAGCTTGAGTTGTGCTTTTTGAATGGCGTTGTCAATAATTTCATTCCCTGATCCCCAATTGATAAAGTCGTTCTTGAGGCATTCGCATACGCAGTGTTCACAAGACAATTCGGTATAACCTTGCTTTCCACACACTTCACATAGGTAAGTAATTTCTCTCAATCGAACGAGATTTTCTCGATCTCTCATGAAAGTTATATTTTCAACCGCCTTTTTTTTCTCATCATCAGTTAGTTGATTATTATTTTTTAATTGGTTTAACAAAGTCTTGTATTGCTCAATGATATTTTTTCCACTTGCATTTAACTGAGCAATATCAGTTTCTTCATTTATTAAATTCC